TTTTAGTTATTTTAATAATCAAGTTAAGCTACCTGCAACTAGCTGAAATAAATTTTTAGTATTTTTTTTTAATTTTATTTCAATTAATGCATAATTTAAGTGTTCATAAAAATGTGTGATTATAATTCAATTTTAGTTTAAGTTTACTATAATAACCATGAGTTCATCTTTCATCATCTCCTAATCCCATTCCTGTTCCAATACTTTACCTTTAAATATAAATACCTTAAATATAAAGGAGGCGACTATTTACACCAAGTATAAAAGAAAATAATTGTTATTTTGAAGGTAGATACGGTTTGCTCCAAGTATAACTGGAACTAAATAGCACCCTGGTTACACAAAGTGCAAATAGTAATAGATACTATTCTCAAAGAGTGCAAACAAAAGTAATATGCTATACTTACTAAGCATATATTACACCACCATGCATCATATGTGCTGAATGACATACAATACTTGTTTCTTACTAATTTTGGGATGCTGATTCCAAAAATAGTGCCTGTTTTGCTCTAGCATGTCACACTTTGACAATAAAGCTCTAGTATGTCACACAATTGACGATAAAGCAGACTTGGCTTGACTTGACTTTCTTACAAAAGGACTATGCACTGTGCAATCTGCCAACAACATTGGCTATTTGCACAAAATACAAAATGACGGTGGATATTGAACATGGAGTCTCTCAATAGGTTTTAAACTTTTTGTCACATATATCACTCTCATGCCTAACACACAACAGGTTTATAAGGGAGTGTATATGTTGCATTTGCATTGAAAATTTGGGATGGTGAATATTGCAGTTAAACCACAAAATACAAACTGTATTACCAAATAGCCTCTTTGTATAATCAAGGCTGATAAGTGAATTTCATCATCATGTCTATATAAATCTTCTAATGGGAGAAAAGTATAACCACTATGCTTGTTTGATTTTTCTCTCTCTCTCTCAGGTATTGGATATTCTACAGCATATCCAAGCTCTGGACCCGTCTCAACACGGAGCGGTCGGGTATCTGGTGCAGCATACGCTCGAGCACATCCAGCATAAGAGGCATCCGGTAGAGCCCGAGGTAAAGAAACGCAGTGTGCCTGAGCACAGGGACGTACTGTACTCTGTAGGCCTCATCATGAAACATAAGAGGTGGGTTCCTGTTTGTGTGAACATCAAACTATATGGAACTATATGGAAAACTCGTTACTTCAGTTCTCCAGGTGGAGCTTATATTGATGATGCAAGCATACTACAGTTCTGGGCTAAATAATACAATGTGAAATCAGACTTTTATTGGCACAGGACGAGAATGCAATCTTGATTTCAAACCAAAAAGGCCTAATACTTTGCATAGCTTTAAGTAGACTGTAGATGCACCATACGTTTACATAAGGAATATTTGATTGGCAGTGTTTACAAACTGATTTCTCTCATAGGTCAGGCTACAACTGCGTTATCTACGGATGGGACCCTAAATGCACCATGAGTCAGGAGTGGATTAACACTATGAGGGTCCATCAGCTGTCTAAGGGGGCTGATCAGCCATTCTACAACGTCCTAGTGCAGGACGGGACATGTAGATATGCTGCGCAAGGTGAGTTTTTCCATTGAGCCAAGATTTAAGCAATGGAAATCTAACATGGTTTTAGGTTGTGCTTATACTTTTGGTTTATTATCACTGGCATCTGAAAACTGGGTCTTTGTCCTAATTGCTCTCAATTTCATCAGCATCAGTGAATCATTTATTTTGGGGCAAATGGGTGAGGTGTTAATTGATTTGAGACAATTGCAATCTTAAAATAAAAAAAGAAACTGTCATTTTTGTTTTTTTTTGCAGAGAATCTGGAGCCTCACTCCGCCCCGCTGGAGATCGCTCACCCTGAGGTCGGCCGCTACTTCACCGAGTTCTCTGACACACACTACATCGCTAATGAAGAGCTCCAGGCGCGTTACCCAGAGGACATGTGCAAGACCCACAGGACTGTAGAGGAGCACTACCACGGTCTCACCGCAAACTCAGGGCACTCGCCAGAGCCCACCGCCAATTTCCAGGACCACGATTTATTAGATCCGTAGACCACTTCCTTCGTTCCCTCCCCACTTTAGATGCGTAGTCACTCACTTTCTCCTGAACTGTTACAACTGATAAGGGACTGAATTAGATGTTTGAAGAATCTCGTTAAAGAAATAGTTCACCCAAAAATTTAAATTTGGTGAACATTTACTCAACCTCAGGCCATCCAAAATGTAGATGAGTTTGTTTTTTTCATCAGAACAGATTTGGAGAAATTTAGCATTACGTCACTTGCTCACCAGTGGATCCTCTGCAGTGAATGGGTGCCGTCAGAATGAGAGTCCAAACAGCTGATAAAAACATCACAATAATCCACACCACTCCAGTCCATCAATTAACATCTTGTAAAGTGAAAAGCTGCATGTTTGTAAGAAACAAATCCATCATTAAGGCATTTTAACTTTAAACCATCACTTCTAGGCAAAATACCGGTCCATAATCCAAAATAATGCTTCATCCAGTGAAAAAGTCCATCCCCTATTGTCTCTAAAATCAAAATCCACTGACATATCTTTTTAGAACTGTTTTCACTGATAAAGTTCGTCAATTAACATGAAAAGACATTAAAAGCTGCGTTTGTAAGAAACAAATCCATCACTAAGTCACAGTCAAGTTAACTTTAACTTGACCGTTGATCCTGGCCAAAATACGATTCCATAATCTTTAATGAAGCTCCGTAAAATTAAAAAGTACATTCCATGTTGTTCTCTCACATCAAAATCCACCAATATATTAGTTTAGAACTGCTTTTACTTGTAAACGGTGCTTAATCTGTGCATATTTCTCTCCTGATTCAGACAAGACTACATTTTCATTGGAGAAAGCAATATTATGGATAGAGGCCTCGTATTTTAGCTGGAAGCAGTTAAAAACGTCTGGATTTGTTTCTTAGAAACATGCAGCTTTTCACTTCACAAGACATTAATTGATAGACTGGAGCTTACTTGTGGATTATTGTGATGTTTTTATCAGCTGTTTGGACTCTCATTCTGACGGCACCCATTCACTGCAGAGGATCCATTGGAGAGCGATTGATGTAATGGTAAATTTCTCCAAATCTGATGATGAAACAAACTCATTTACACCTCGGATGGCCTGATGGTGATACTTTTTCATTTTTGGGTGAACAATTCCTTTAAGGCAAAACCAGTCTAAGATCAGTAGTTTTTCTCTAATTCATTTCAGTTGTACGAGATCTTGGTCCTAGATTAGTTTTAAGCGCAACTTTGACCCAGAGCTGCAAATGTAGTCTAAGCTGAAAGAAACTACACGTGTTGTATTTGAGTGGTTGAGTACAAATGATGTGGTTGAGTTACAGTATTTGTGCAGATACAAAATATAGTCTAACTAGTATGTATATGTGAACTTACACTACAGAGGGTCTGAATATCTGTATATGTGTTGATGATCCGCTTCAGGCCCGTTCCTTATTGCCATCATTCATAACACATCTCACTGAACTAATGCACTAATGTCACATATGTTAATATGTTAACTAACATGCAATTGACATGAGTTAAAACGTGTAAAGCTGTTATTAATTTTTATGTATTATGTACTATTTTGTAATGTTTATTTCAAAGTTATAAAAAAAAAAAAACTAGAGAATAAGGGCTCGAGGTATTCTTGGCTCATAGGGGTTGTAAATACAAAAGTATTGAGAATATAAGAGAATGAATCACAAAATAAAGAATAAGCTCTACTTTGATGGTCTGGTTATTTATTATTTTATTTTTATGACTTATCTACTTATTTTGTAAGTGAAGAGATTTTAGATACCGAAATATTTCAATGTACTCATTTAACCATGATTCCCTTCCAGACTGCACAGGAATACGTAAATCAAATATTAATTTGGTATATCAGCAAAGCGGAAGTTGCTCTGCAATATTCTTCAGTCATTCTGTAGAACATGAGTGCCATGTTTTGTTCATGTCGGCTCGAGATACAAATCAAATATTAAAAAGTGCTGAAATTTAATTTGTCAATGAAACTTTTTACTTTAATTGCTATGCTGATGTAATTGTTGTGCTGCATATTATGACGGTTAGAAGCATTTTTAGGAGTCGCCTCTGACTATTTCCCAATTCTCCGTTTTATCATGCACTGAACACCTTAAAGTGAAAGTTGGATAATGAATGACAAAAAAAAGTCAGGGTGGTGTCCCTCTTGTATCCAAAGCAGAGTGTGTTTGCATAAACTTTAATGCTCATCCAAGTCTCACACAACCTCAAATATTCATAATGCAAATACACGCATCTACCACACTATACCTTAATCCTGGCTGTAGAAGAAAGTGTCCCTCTTGTATCCAAAGCAGAGTGTGTTTGCATAAACTTTAATGCTCATCCAAGTCTCACAACCTCAAATATTCATAATGCAAATACACGCATCTACCACACTATACCTTAATCCTGGCTGTAGAAGAAATACTATATATTAAATATGTTCTAGTTTAGTACTAAGAACAAAATAATATATTTAAGATACTTTAATCATATAAATTAATATTTTAGTTGATTTAAACTAATAATCACAAATTAAAATAATTTATTTATATTTAATTAAACATTATTTTATTTAAATCATTATTTTAATGCATTAATAAATATTTTATATCAAAATAAGTAATATGCCATATATTTATAAATTATTTTATTGACAACGACCCCAAATATCTGCTATGACAGAAAGGGATGTCTTCTTTTGTAAAGTATGGCTATTATACCGTACATAAATGTGCATTTCTAGGCCTCAAAAGAATTTTCAGATTCGGCACGCGTAAAAAACAACAACAACAACAAAAACACTCAGGTGTGTCGCTGGCGCTTGCCGCGTATTTGCATATTTCATGAGGGGGCGGAGCTTTGCTATCAAAGTCTGACCAAAAGTTCTGAGCATTCTTCATACGACTTTCCTACTGATCTCTTCTGGACGTCAACATGGGAGCTTCTCAGTCTGGACCAGTGCATATGTTCCAAGATCTGGCTCATAAAACTGGCTGTGAGTATGTATGAAACTTTTAAATATGTAGATAGCGACATTTTTTCCTGTGCTTAAAATATAATATTTGAAAGTGACTTTACACTTACAATCAAAGTACAGTAATGACATAGAAGTTTGTATCATGGTACACACTTGATGCTTATTCTTGTATTTCGCCAACTGTAATGAACCAATATATATTAAAACACATTCAACAACCTAAATCTAATGAACCCAAAGTGTCACTCAGCTAGAATGTAGGAGGACTTTTGAAGAAGCACAAGTGATCCCATTCATATCTATCACTGGGGAGAAGCGTTTTCACAACAGATATTTACTGTACAGCTGTGAATGTGCGAATATGTAATACCAAGCACATATTGCACAGAGCAAATCTTCTCAAAACGAACTGTTCTACCTCAAAAATAGATGATAAAAAAGAAAATTAACACTTTACAATCCTTACAATCCAAAACATGAATGCATTTTTAACAGCATTTATTAATCTTTGTTAATGTTAGTTTAAAAAGAAGTGAAGTCTTCATTGTTTATGTTAGTTCACAATATATTAGCTAATACTTAAATGTTGAAATTAACAAACTAAGATTTTAAAAATGCTGTAGAAGTATCGTTAATTGTTAGTTGATGTGTATTGTTAACTAATGGAACCTTATTGTGAAGTGTTACCAGAATAACTATTGTGTTCAGATATATGTCTGTCTATACTGTACATTTATACTATCCTACAGCTATGTTAAACATGAGTTTTTCTGGTTTTACTTGTTTTTTCTGTCTTCTTCCTTTCGTGTGTGTGTGTGTGTGTGTATGTGTGTACCTGTTTTTCTATTCTGGTGGGGACTTAAACCTGAATACACACAGACTCATGGGGACTCGTGTCACGGTGGGGACCTAAATTGAGGTCCCCAAGGGGTAAACAAGCTAATAAATCACACAATTAAGTTTTTTGAAAATCTAAAAATGCAGAAAGTTTCCTGTGAGGGGTAGGTTTAGGTGTAGGGTTGGTGTAGGGCAATAGAATATACGGCCTGTACAGTAGAAAACCCATTATGCCTATGGAGAGTCCCCACAAGGATAGCAAATCAGACATGAGTGTGAGTGTGTGTGTGTGTGTATGTGTGTGTGTGTGAGAGAGAACTAACCAATAATTTACTTCTTCATGTCCTTTCCACACTCTCAGAAAAAAGGTACAAATCTGTCACTAGGCAGGTACCCGTTCAAAAGGTACTAATATGTATCTCTAACAGCTAATAATCAAAAACAATTACAACTTTGACAAATCTTCTTTTGTTGTTGTATACAGTTATCATATCCTAAAGAACTCAAATGTGCATTATATGAGCAATGCTAATAGTGACAGATAGCAGAGTGTTTTGGTTTGGTGACAGCTGTCATAAGATATGGGATTGATTACACTTTCGATTTTAGTCGCCTAAATCTCTTTAAATACAGGTATTGTTGCATGTTGTTGGAGTTGTGAGTGTATTTGTGCAGCTCCTCTCCTCATGTTTTGTAATCTGAGGCATTAGAGTTTATTACGGTTTCCGTAATGAAACATGCATTCCTTATTGAGTTTGATTTTATTCATTATCAGCTCATCTTGCGCTTCACCCACACACACATATTCTGTCTCCATCACTCCTTCAGAACAGCTGTGACTGTCACCGCACTGACCCTCTTCATTTGAAATGTTCCTGAATTTGCTGTCTTCTTCTCACTTTAGTTTCCATAGAGCAGATAAAAAACCTCCATAACAGATTTACGTACCTGACTCAAGATGAAGACACTTTAAGGTACTGTACTTGATGACACTCATTTAGAGGAAACTAAAATGCTGTCATAAGCACTCATCTATCACTAATTTTCTGCCCGACTTTATTTTCATGCTTGTTTTAGGGAAGAGCAGTTGGTCTGAAAATGATGCTGTTTGCATTTTTCTTTTGAGCTACAGTTGAACCATACACTAAATATGTATACAATATGTTGTTTATACCCATTTCACTTCTGATTTTAATACAAGTTCTGAACACGTGGTGTGTTATTGAACTGTGTGTGTTTTAAAAAAGGTTAGATGTCATGTCAGATTTATGTCAGATGAGATACATTTACCTTCATAATGAATAATGTAATGCACAGCAGAAACATTTCTTCTCATTTCAGACGTGAACACCTCGAGAATATTAGCAATTTGGCCCTCAATCCAATCCGAAGACAGATCATTGAGGCCTTCTTTGATAAAAGGTGCGTATAGAAAAGAAAAAACTCATGTGGGGCCATATCTCAGTTCTGAGAGGAACGCCAAAGCTTTTTCCCATTTTTGTTGTTTCATGTGTTTTGTAGTTCTTTTACCATTTTGCTGAAAAGCAGTTAAGTGTCATATAATAAATTTTAAATATGGACATGTTGAGGAGGATGCACTGTATATATATATATATATATAAACATTTTTATGTAATTTCTAATTATTGAAATGTATTTAAATTATTACATTGAAATTATTTTTTAATTTATTTAGATTTTAAATTTCACTTTTTAAACATTTTGTGTTTTGATTTGTTTTACCATTAGGTTTAGCTGAAAAGCAATTGTCCTATAATACATTTTAAATACAGACATTTTGAGGAAGACGGCATATTTATTTTATTTATTATAAAAATAAATGTATAATGAAGTGTATTTACATTTTTATTAAATTTTAATTATTATACACTCTAAAAAACACTGGGTTAAAAACTGGGTTTTTAACCCAAGGGCTGGGCAAATATAGGACAGAACACATATGGGGTTAATTTTACCCAGCAAATTGGGTTGTTTATTTAACCCATCATAATGGGTTGATTTAACCCAGCAAATGGGTTGATTCATTTTTATTATAATATAGCTTATTTATACATGAAATAATGTTTACAGATTAACTTAAATCCACTAAACTTTTGTAAAATACTCCACACAACCACTGGTTTGCATGATAACTTCCTTTAT